TGACGTGCTTTGCGATGGGCCTATCGCACGTCCTGTTATCGCGATGACGATAATTTTTCGATATATTGTGCAGCCCTAATTTCTATACATGTTTTGGCTGTCAAACTTCCATAACGCCCCTTTAAAGATTGTAAATATTCAGCACACCTCCAATCATACTGTGATTCCTGAGTTGGCCATCAAGTCTGCAAAAGTTTAATTTACAATTAGAAAAAAACTCAGCAGTGTGAGAAGGTTGCAGCTGTTAACTAACGATGGAGTGGCAGGAAAATGGATCTGACAGCACATAAATCTGACCTCTGCAAATCTCTCTAATTTATTACTTTAATATTAAAAATCCCCAGCGTCAGATCAGATAAAAGGCATGCTTAGCCTCCAAACAAATATGTAGATGAATGAAGGAAAACTGATCTGGATGAATGAGACAGAAAAGCATGAGCAACAACAGTGTTCCGGGATACGTGGATCAAAAATAGAACCTGACTCAAGTTTGAAAGATCTCAGGGGAAAAAATGAGGTTTTTAATTCACGACAAGGAAAACTCCAGCCCCAGGAAGATCATAAACTCTCATGAAAGGGGTTAAAATCAGCAGAAATAATGATTTAGATGTACAAAATGTTCAGAGAGAAAATCTCAAAGGATTAAACGACAAAGAGGAGGTTTTTCTGTGGATTTCTCAAAGTTAAAATGTCCTGATTCCACAAAACGAGATAAAATATTTGTACATTAGGAGCTGTTCTGCGTTCAGACTCTGCACAAATAACCTCTAATGCATCCACTTTTCATTCTGAGATCATGGTATGTTTACACTTCTCTCCCAGCATCCTTATTCCATCCAAGAAAACATACAACTGGTGTTTTAAGCCACTTTAAAGGCTCGGTGCATCTGTCCCAGTAACGTGATCGTCAAACTTCCTGATATCTCACCTGGCTGGTTGCAGCTACTGTGTTGACACACCGATGACCAAACACACTTTGAGGCATCTGGGTTTGTGTTTTCACTCCATGAAGTGCAAGTTAAAAGGCTTTAGACCAGTGGTTCTCAATCCCAGTCTTGGAGGGCCGTTATCCAGCACGTTTTAGTTTTAAACCTGCTTCAACACACCTGATTTCAATCAGCAGGTGATTAACAGGCTTCTACAGAGCCTGATGAGCTGCTGCACATGTGATTCAACCACTGAATCAAGTGTGTTGGAAAAAAGAAACCACTAAAATGTACTGCATACCAGCCCTCCAGGACCAGGATTGAGAACCACGGCTCTAGATGATGCTTCAGGGTAATCCTTTACAGTACTCATACTTATTACTAATGGAGTAAACAGGAAAACTGTACAGAAAATAACCAAACTCAAGAAAAAGTAGACAAAACTCAAAGGTGCAATATGTAAGAATTAACTAAAGCCCCCTTCAGACAGGCCATGAAAAACGGAAATGTTCCGGACAGGGTGGCTGCTTCAGACTGGTGAGGTAGAGTTCCGGACAAGGGGGAGGGGGAGGAGGAGAGGACCGGGGGACGCTGTGCGCACCTAGATAGCTCGCTGCTGTAGCATGCGGCGAACCACGGCAGCTCACCTCCTACGGTACCGCCTAGACGCGCGACGGAGCGCTTCACACCGCTTCAGTGATTCCTTTAACCATTGAGCTTCATCATCCAGGTCTCTTATGCGTCTTCGTGTGCGCAGAATTATGCTTAAGCGCCTCGTGATTTTTATCATGAGAGGCGCTATAGAAATGATATTTTCTTCTTCTTCTTCTTCTAAACATAAGTCTGATTCTACCCCCCACCTCCACCCCACCCCACCCCCCGCCGCCATCAGACATCTGGAACTTTTCCCTGCTGTGTGAACGCAGCCGAAAGGACAAGTTCCGGTACAAAAGTGGTGTGTCTGAAAACACAGTTCCGGTTAAAAACCGCATTGAATTGTCCGCAAATGTTCCAGAATGTCTGTCTGAAAAGGGCTTGAGAGTGACGTCCTGTGGTAAAATTCTGTTACTGCAGCCCATTTTTATAAACAAAAGTTACTTTCTCATTCCTGTTCCGTGAATTTCATGGCTGTTGTTATCAGAAGATTCTAGATAACAAGCAAAGAGGAGTCGTACACAATAAGTTGATAAGTACATTCTCATATCTCTTGGGTGTTTTACGATAGGGAGCACTTACTAGACTTATTCAGTAGTTTGTCTCCGTCATTAGAGGCGTGTTGTTGTTTGCCGTCTTGCTGTTAGCTAGGTGTCATGGTTCTGAACGACTTATTAAAGGAAGTAAAACACCACGATTGACTTATTATTCCTTTCACTATATTATGGAGTTGTTGATAGTTGAAAAAGTAGCTAAAGGTAATTTTAGAGCCGACTATTTGCTTCTAATTCTTCGTTACTATTGTTTGCTCAATGTTAGTCTTCTTCAGCGGATATTAGAGTAAAACAAAAAGATAATGTGGCTTCAGAGAAGCTCCTGTTTACTGGCCTAGGTTCTTTAAACAACTCTCGAGCTTTTTTCTGGCCGTTTCAAATTATAAATGCCTGCACTGCAGCGTTAGCTTGGTGCTATCTCGGCACCTCACCGATTGTACACCGTAGCTACGTCCCTCTTTAGTTTTTATGAAAGAAGAAAACCTGGCAACCCCCTAGGTGGTTGAGAATGACCTATGTTTCAATGTAACCTTCTTTCCAACGTGACTGAGACGTTAGACTGTTTAGTCATTATGTCACTGTAGATATCTTACATATTGCTCCTTTAAAAAGATTGTTTTATGATTAATCTTTCTGTTTAGGATGGCACGGGCTCAGAGGAGATCTTGGTGTAGAGCTGCTGTTGCTGCTCCTCATCATCAAAATCACTCAGCTGAGGCGTTCGCCTCCTCCGTCTCAGATTTCTGAGAAAAACATGAAAATTTTGAGAAAAAATTCCTTAATCTGAGACAAAAGTTGGGATTTTGACCTTTTTTCCCAAATTAAAGACAGAAACCTTATATAGACTTGTGGCCACTTTTGGAAAAAAAACCCCATCTTGTTTCTATTGTTAAGTTTTAAGAAAAAAAAACTTTTGCAGTAACAGGGATCTTATTTGACAGAATGTTGATTGTGGAAAAAAAAATTATAGATCCTAAAATATTACTGATACTTTTGGTGTAATTCTGTAGTAAAAATGCAACACAATTATCCCACAAAAAACGCATACAACTGCATTTTCATTGTTTATTTTTAAAACATGACTTAGTCATTTTTTTAGCATTTCTTGCCAGTTATTAAGAGCCATTGTTGAAGGTCCAAAGAGTCACTTGTGCCTCCTGAGTCTCAGGTTACAGACCCCAGACCTGGACTAACAAATTGAACAACACAAATCATTTAAAGGCCAACTTTACTCATATTTAATACATTTGCTGTGGTCTCTAAAAGGAACGAATGCCTTTGTAAGTCACACTCAGGGGAAAAAAAGCTCTGGTGCGTCTGTTTGAGGACATAGAGGTCAGCCGAAGGAGTAAGCGGAAGAAAATCACAGAATTGGGAGTTTTATTTTTCTGATATTGGGACATCTCACCTCTGATTGGCTACTCTTACCCCAAAATTCCACTACCTCCGCTCCGGCACGAACTTCGCAGCAAAATCGGCCCTGTTGTATTTCATCAGAGCTGTTCCACTGCTGCGGCCGTGCGGCGCAGTGCGCCGCCCGCCGTTCCGCCATCCGGCAAAAATAGGATCGATTCTATTTTTGCCGGATGCCGGAGCACCTCCACAGTCAATGGACAGAAATCACAGCCGCCCAACAGGAAAGGGAGCAAGCACAACTTCCTTTATTTCACAATAAATCGATAAACAAAAAGCGTTTTTTGTTTCATATGCACATGTTTAACAACTTTTAACAACTATCAATGGCGGTTGAACTTTAAATGCACAAAAATAAGCCATAAATACAGTTTCTACTATCAAAGTACTCACCCTTTGTTGATCCAAACACTGCTGATCTCTCAACACAAATGATGGGCAGATTAAACAGTTCATTTCGATGCTTCTCCCACACAACGGGTGCTTGGATCTAACTTCTGCGTTTATTGCTCGGACTGTATCGCAAGATCTCGAAAATCCTGTGCATGCCTGTTTGCGCACCTCAGGTCTCCGCACCGGGGCGGAGCCGTTGTAGAGCGGGTACCAGTAAAAATTGAGTTCGGAAGCGAGCGGCTGCGGAAGGCGGGGGCGGAGCGGAGGTAGTGGAATTTTGGGGTAACATGACTCTACTACTGACTCAATGCTCTTTGCAGCGTTGCTGTTTAATCCCCACAAGCCTGAAGGAGCTATGTCATGATAACAGTTAGTTTCTGCTAGTCGAGATGTGCTCCGATGTTTCCTGGATGCCAATGGCGCATGACCTGGCCTAGCCCTGGTAGGGTAATTGTGATCACACGTGGGTAACTGTGCGTTTTCCGTGCTGGGCAGCCCGGCTCCCGGGTGGTCAGCTTAGAGCGTGAAGATTGTTGCTTTAGCCACTTGGGTCAAACCCGTGTACGTGGCTATAAAACAATATTGTTTCCTCACTTAGAAATGGAACAAGATTTAAATTTATCAACAAACAGACAAATCTGTTTATAGAAGCAGTCACCAGATTACGATTGTTCTCGCTTCAACGTTTCGCTGCAGCTCATTCATCCCAGGCTGCAAACTAAACTCTTTCCCAAGATTATGCCCTGAATGCTGAATAGAAAGGGATGTAATGTGGAATGAATGCACTAGATGCGGCATTTTCTTCTCCAAAGATCCATTATCTCCAACAGAGTCCAAACAACCCAGTTAGGATCAGCTGGTTGGAAATGAGCAAACTCTGCTCACAAATGCATTCCTTTCTTTGCCAAGAATTTGCTTTTCTCTAGATGCTATCAATACATTCCTCTGTGCAAATGCATCAACTCCCCTGTGAGAAAACTGACAGATGCTTTTGACGGACAAAAACATGAATGCTTGATGAAAAGGACCACAGGTAGTGAAGAAACAAAAGCTCCAAAAATCTGACCCAAACCACTTTTATTTTGACAACAGATTACAGATACAGGACCAAAAGGTGTGGGTGTACTAACACAAGGGTGATGTTAAAGCGTAGAAATGGTCACTTAGCTCCTTTTCCAGAGTCTCTAAGCTTGCTGAGCTGCAGCCTTGGCCTCTAACCGCTCCCGTCGTTCCTGCTCAGCCTTCTCCCTCAACTCCTTCTCCCTCTGAATCAGCTGCCTCTTTTCAGCCTCCCAGACCCGAATCCGGCCCTCGTACTGCTCCAGGTCCAGCTTTTCCGCTTCAGCCAGGTTCTGCTGGGCCACCGTGGTCACTAAAGTCTGGAAGGGGGCAGACTCGACTTTACTCAGAGTCTCCAGCTGGCTCCTCAGCTCCTGCAGAGGTGAAACACTGTCGGGGTTAAACGAACTCTTTCAACAGAAACCTGAAAAGTCTTCAGAACTTCTCTAAAAACAAACATTCATAAAAACAATTCTGTGTCCCAGCTATGAGAAGTGAAGAAGACGTGTCTCTGTATACTTTATAGTTTATTTACTGTAGTAATAATGTTTAATCTTTGTGGATAATCCAGTCAGTGTGAGAAACAGAGGAACTACGGCATCATCTAGTCTAAAAATCCTGGATATTGGAAGTAAAAATCAATATTTTGAGTCATTTTTATGTTAAAACTTGAACAAAAACTTCTCAGTGACAGACCTGGCCCATTTTAAACATGACTCATGTAAACTGTTGTTAAAGTAAACCCGTCTTTAAACAGTTTTACTTCCTAGTTTTGTGTTTATAATTTCTCACAGAGGAGAATCTATTCAGTTCAACAGCAGAAAGCCACTCCTCACAAATCAGCTGCGACTGTAAAACAGGAAGAAAACAGAGTTCAGACATAACAGGAAACCGTGTTTGTAGGATTGTTCCAACGAGGAAAACTCGTGTAAATTCTGCTGCAACCGCAAACAGAAACACAACCGCAGCAAACACACACACACACACCTTAAATCTGCTGACGTAGTGAGGGAGGTTATCCTTCTCAGCTTCATCATCTTCATCCACAACTTCCTGTTCCTTGTTTTCCTCCGCGCCCGACTCCCCTCCGGACTCATCCGTCTCCGGGGTCGAGGACAGCTCCTGCAGCAGGTCGTTTACGTAATCCAGCTGAAAAATAAAGCAAATCGATGTTTACTGCTACCAAATGAGACGCTTTTATTTTAAATATTCTGACGAACTTCTTACTCTGATGCAGCTTATAAACAAAACTCCTGATTACAGAGCAGACGGAACGACGCGAAGGCTCGACACCTCGGCTGTTAATCTTCAGAAGAGGCTGATTTAGTGTGACCCGCGGCGGCCGTCACCAGAGCCTGAGCTGTAATACATCCCGTGTCTGGCTGCGTTATTCTCTCTGTCTACATTATCGCTGTGATTCCAGCAGACACCCGAGAGCTGCAGGCTCCTCACAATCTCATTAACCCTGGACAGGCCGGATTAAACACACGACCACCAGCTGTGTACGTGTGCCCACATGCAAAAATAACAGCAACAGTGCGTGTTCAGTGTCAGCAGGTGACACCAGTCTGAAGATAAACTCACCTGCTGTGTGTAACGCTAATTTTGATACATTACACAGACATTTGACTGAAAATCCCTCTTGTGTTGCTGGTAAATACATTTCTAGTACAGATATTTTGGGGGGAAAACTTGGTCTCAAAGGTCAGAAAGAATTGATTAAAAGTAAAAAAAAAGTATATAATCATATTTATTTTCTTTGTAATTTTTAAGGTTTTCAAAGCCAGATCCTATAGAGCACATTTAGTATGAAAGACACTGAATTTATGACACTGAAATTTTATTGTGAAATTTTGTATTTGAAATTTATTACATTTATAATTTTATCTGCAAAAATTCAACATCATCAATTCAACAAAAACATTTGAACAGCAGCCGGCGTGACCTGGAGGCCAATCAAATGAAGCTTCTCTGATCACGTGATAGCTGCGAGGCGTCGACTCGATAGACCGTTTTGGCTCGAGTCACTTCAATTTGAACTTTTGCAGCTGAAATTCTGCGGTAGAATTTGTACGGACTTCATTTTTGCTGGTGTTTAAGTTTTAATAATTTAAAATACATAATTTTACAGAATAAAATTCTAAAACAAGTCATATTCTGGTGATCATTAGGAACAGGACGCTCACGTTGATTGTATGAGGTTTTTACAGGAGATGAAAATCATTCAGACGTTAAAATCATACGTTTGTTTTTGACAAAACATTTAAGTTATTGGTTGCCGTCGGTGTGTGGAGCATTCTGAGCATAACAGCAGAACTAACGCTCCGGCAGAGCTCTCCCTGGGGTCTCTGCACTCCGCGGGGAACCTCTGGAGCTCCATCTTCCGTGGGTCTTTGGGGGCAGGTCTGTGGTCACTCACACTCAGTATTGGACACTTCTGTAGAGAAACCTTACACACACACGTGTGTGTACGCACACAGGTGCTCTCACAAATATGGACTCAGGTGTTTTTGACACACAAGGTAGAGATGTAGTCGGAACTAAATGCACCATGAATTATTACTGGTTTTATGAAGCACACTGTTATGTTGTTACTGGTATATACAGGGTATCTGCAGGTTTAAGGGAGCCAAATTTAAGACTTTTTAAGACCTTTTTTAAGGCCACTTTGACCAAATTTAAGCTATTTTTAAAATTAAATTTAAGCTATAATTTCCAGCTATTGCCTGGAGCCGGTGCTAACCACGTCGCGAACGTGGGATTAGCCATCCAGTTACCATTAAACTTGCACTTCCCCATGGCGCAAGCTCCCACTAGCTTAACCAGCTAATGTGCTCATCTAAAAACAGCCCCCTTTCACAACCAGCTGAATGTGTACGGTTCCGCTTACGTCAACATCGTACACAAAAAATGCTGAACACCAACTAGAAATTCACGAAATTTTTTATAGAAATAAAATAATCTTGTTTATTGGGTCTTTGGTAATTTAAGACCTTTGGAAACTGTATTTAAGGATTATTTGTCATTTTTAAGGATTTTCAAGGCCTTAAATTTGGAAAAGCAAATTTAAGGCTTTTTAAGGACCTGCGGATACGCTGTATATATCTGGATGTTGTTGGCAAAGTGTTTTTGTTCTCTCTCATTTTTGTGGAACCCCCCCCCCCCACACACACACACACCTCTTCCTTTCCTCTTCCCCTCGTCTTTTTCATTTCCATCTCCGTTGGGATTTAAAACAACCAAATACATTTCTAACAAAGTTTTGATATCAGGTGGGGCATTATAGCCAAGTGTATAGCGCTCCACCTGTGAGAGTAAAACACAGAGTAAGGCTTGTCTTTGCACTCGGACATCAAATCTGATTGCTTTACAGCCGGACAGCCCATCTCCCACCCCACCTTAAACCAGAAAACCCCAGAAAAGCAGTCGTTCTTCTTTATCTCGGCATTATTCCACTGGAACCAGACTTAGCAGGACTGCTGCGGAGTATTTCAGGGAGTGGAGCAAAACGTCTGTTGCCTTATTGCTAATTGGTTCCCATTATTTTGTCAGAAACATCCTATTTTCTACTATTTCCTCCAAGTGAGGAGTTAAGGGAACGTTGCTAACGTTTTCCAGTCTAAACGGTTTGCCTTTGTTCTCGTGCTCGGACTGTTTATTCATCATCCTATAAAAGCAGCTTAGCGTCCATTAGGATGGACCTCCTGCATACGAGACATTTAGGGAGCGTGGGTGAGTTGCAATGCCCGTATTCAGTCTGTGTTGAGAGAATTCAGTAAAGTGCATCTGCAGAGTAACTCTGAATGGGTGCTGCAGGAAGTTCAAGGTTAACCGTTGTACTCAAAATAGCCATCGGAGAATTGATTTATACAGCTGGCAGAACGAACACTGAACTTCACGTGATAAACTGATGCTCGTGTCACTCCTGTCATCGCCTGATAGCTTAAATATGAGCCAGTAACCCTTCTGTAAGGAGTCAAACAATAATAATCACATGTAGGGTTGTCACGGTAACCGGTGTAGCGGTAAACTCCGGTAAAAAGTTGACAATAATAATAACCATCTTGTTTTTAAAAAAACTATATCATCTCGGTGGATTACCGTGGCTGCGGTGTAGGTGCGGTGACCCTTACCAGCCACCGTATCATCTGCTGAAGTTGCCGGCGGCACATGCGCACTTTGTTGTTTACAACCAAAACTTTCTTGAAGCTAAAGCTGAAATAATGGCCAAAGGAGGAGACGGCAGCGCTCAGGACATTTACTATCCCTCAAAGAAGACAAAGTGGGAAGTACGGGCATGTTTTGGATATCTGAAGAATGTCGAGGGACAGCTGATAGAAGACGGCTATCCTGTTTGCAGCACGTGCAGAAAAAGTGTCTGTGAAAGGCAGCAACGCTTCAAATCTCATGACACATCTGCGTGACCATCACCCACAACTCTACAGTCAACGCAAGGCAAGCTAACGTTAGCGTTTTAGCTAAAATGCGTGATCCGAGGAATTGGGTTGAGGGAGAATGCATCGAGTCGCTATATAAAGCAGCCGCAGCGCCGCTACCTGCATATAAACCGTGTCGCGGACACCCCCATGTTGAAATGACGCTATGCATTACGGGGCTCCCAGGGGCAGATAAGAGTTGGTCTCTCTCCGAGAATAATTATGAATTTAACAATGATTACTGCCTGATGACATTTTCCCACATCTGCAAAGCTCACTGGAAGGACACAAACCGAGGACAATACTTTCCTGATATAGGGTTTATTACTCAAGTAAGGGTAAAAAAGTATCTGATTAGAAGGCTACTTGAGTACTGAGTATCATCTGGTCTAATATTTTTAAAATGATGACATCACACAGACAAAACATAAGAAGTTATGGGCAAATATTGGTATTTTAAAGACTAAAGGGGAAAAATGTAAACAAATAAACAACATAATTACAAAATAACACATTTTAGGCTAAATTTAGACACAAACTGAGGACGATATTTCCTGACATACAGGGTTTATTTAATTGTGTGAAAATGTAGCACGTTTAAAAAAAATAACGCGATAATACCGAAAACCGTGGTAATTTTGGTCACAATAACCGTGAGGTTAAATTTTCACACCGTGACAACCCTAATCACATGTGGTCTGAGTTTTCCTTCAAATACGTTATAATAAACAAGGAAAAGATATTTAAAACGAAGAGTTGATGTGGCGTTTGTGTTCTTACGGTGTCTTTGGACAGCATGATGTCACCAGGAGCAGCAGAAACTCTCTCCATCACAGCCAGAGCTCGTCTCACATACCCTCGGTTCCAGGAGAGAGGCATCCCCTTAAAAACAGCATGGATGCCCTTTAGCATCTCCACCTTTCCTGTAAGAGTCAAACAAATGAGACATGCAGCTAATGAAAGCCTGCTGGATGAGTCAATCGCAGCACAGAGGAGAAACCTTACAGACAAAAGTCAGACGGAGGAAGTCAAAAACTCACCGAGGAGAGCGTTTCCCAACAGCTGGGCGCTGAGGCCGACCGTGTTGCTCTGCGCTTGTCCACAGACGAGCAGCGACGCCCCCAAGCTCCGCTCCTCTGACACCTGAACACACACACACACAGAGGCATGTTGTTTTAATCAGTGATGCTAGTTCTGGTCCCCAAAACAGATTTTCTGCACTAACAGACGGTGTTCACTCACAGTGAGTTGTGGTCGGGTGGAGAAGAAATTCCCCAGAGCGTACAGAGACAGGATTTGTGTGGAGGAAAGGTCAAAGGCCTCCTGAAGCATCACCTCCTCAACCACAGAGCACGCACCTGCACAGCCACACCTCGTCAATGTTATCACCGTTTCTAAACTATTTCTGCGACCCACCCTCTAGAGCAGTGGTTCCCAACCTTTTTCCCAAGGGACCCCGTTTTTTACCAGTAAAATTTTTGACGACCCCCTCCCATTCTCTCTTCCAGTACAAACAGTATTAAGAAATGATAAAATTGTTCAAGCACATTTGAATATGCTTTGATTCAATAGATAACAGTAATAGTAGGCTCCAGTACAGAACAAAGTCATTAACAAAACCAAACAGAGCATAATGTGCTTGACAGTTTGTATTACTTTTCTGAACACATTGTTTCTTGTAAACACGGATAAATCAATCATTCCTTTCAATAAACGTTTGACACATAAAAAATACACTGAGAAAAATGTACTTAAATGTGTATATTACTGTTTATACTAGATTATTTACTGTAAAGGCTGTGATTAATCAACCAGTCCTATCTTTAATGAACTTTTGACACTTGAAAAATAACACAGTGAGCTGAGCAAAATGTTCTTAAAAGTGTGTTACTTTTTCTGTACTAATTATTTCCTGTCTTAATATCAGTAAACTTTTCACTCATTAAAAAAATGTGAGCACAATGTAGGCTATAAACAAGTAATAAATGAAGTTTTAACCCCTTAAAGTGGAGAGGTCCTGGCGACCCACTGAGAGGCTTTGGCGCCCCCTTGTGGGGGTCGGGCCCCCAGGTTAGGAACCACTGCGCTAGAGTACCTACAGCGAATGTCCTACAATTGAGAAAAACTGCTTTCAGTTTTCTTAACGTTGATGTTTTTAATCTTCTTTTATTAAACGATTCCAAATGCCCCCCACCCCCCCCACACACACACACACTTTCCTGTCATGTAATAATAGATTTAATTTTCCGTTTTGAAAATTTTATATCATCCCTGCCTGCATTTACAACAATCCCGCCAACAAATGTAAACAAAAACTCTGTTTACAAGGATAAAGCAAAGTCTAAACAATGCTGCTTTTTTTACCGGCTGCTGTTATCAAACAGGAAAATAATCAAACTTCCTCCTCACTTGTTTTTTTGGGGGGGAAAACGGACACAAAGAGCTCAGGAATTTGAGTTTAGAGATGTGAAAGTGAACATTTGTGTCTAAATATGTGCTTGCCTGCAGCGGTTTGTACCATGTGACCTTTTGTTCTGAGCAGACTCACTTTTAAAGTCTCCATCCTTGATGTAAGAATCCAACAGCAGGTTGAAGGTGAAGTCATCAGGGAATATTCCATACTGGACCTGTTGGAAACATTTAATATACGACATTATAATGGTCACCATCTGTGTAAGCTTAAATGATCCTTTTTGCACATTTGACATACGAATATCTCATCTCTGACGCATCCCCAGTCAAATCAGTTTTATTACCCAAATAAAAGCATGATCTTTGAGTTTTAGAAATGCAGCAGCTCATTCATAAACATGATACGTGCTTGAGTGGTAACACTGGACCCGTCTGTGGGGTAACTGCAGCTTTTAGAGTGTATCCACCCATTTCCTTACTGGTTATTCACCTGAGCATCATCTGCACTCTACAGTAACCGCCTACATCATCATTTTATAAAAACTACATTAAAACTTTTGTGGGGTGTACCTTGTTCTTAAGAGTGTGCAGGGCCTTTTCTCGGCTTCCATATTTCAGACACTGTCTGATCCAACCGTGAATGGTCCAATCTCGCAAGTACCAACAGTTCGGACTATGACGAAACCTTAGAATGCAAAAAATAAAATAAAAAATTATTGTATTCATCAATCACAGGAAGAGATTACATGCTATGCTAGTTTAAATTCACACTAGATCATTAAAATAAACACTCCCTAAACAAAGGTGTGATTGAAAACAAGTCAGTGCAAGAGGAGGTGTAGAATCCAGAGGAAGGAGAAAACAAGAAAGGTCTGGAGTTGGCTCCGATAAAGAGAACCGTGTGACTGAACATAAAACAGAATGACAACGCAGTCCAAGAACACACAAGAAACAAGGGAGCAGCTGAGATTCAGCACAGACACAGAATAAGCAGAAGCGGTCCCTCGTACTTATACAGGTAATACTCCGCTTGGTCCACTTCCTCCTTAGATGATATGTTGTCAACAAACTGAAACACAGAGAAAAAAAGGGTTACTTCAAATGTTTCGTTTGCTATATAAAAAAACACAAAGCAAATGAGTGGCCTGGATGTAAATGCAACTTACCCGTGAAATGGTCAGCGAGCTGACCGGAAGGTTCCTGTCGTACGTTCGGTCCATCAGATCGGCTAGAACAGCTGGAGGTCAGAAAGATTAATATGCTTATTAGGGTCACGAGAAATCAAACATTGTTTATTCAGAATAAAAAGACTGCAACACACGACATGAAGAAAGTGACTCAACAAAAATGGGGATTTAATCCATTAATTTTACGTTTAAAAAAATAAATCAAAGGTGCAAATTTAATTTAATATCTGTCAGCTTTCAATTAACACCACCAAGACGCTGCAGTGCCACCTGGTGGTCATACAGTACAACAGCAGCAACACCTGCTGCTGGCAATAATCAACTAAACATAAGAATTTAATCTTCATCGAACATTTATTCATGTTGTGTTACACATCAACACGGGCAACTGAACATTTGACTTTAAATCCATGTTTACTGATCGCTGCCTTTTAAAGAAATTTAGTATTCATCTTTAGAAAGAGTAAAACTAATACACCTAATTTATTTAACAATCCAATAATTAAACTACATTTACTCTCTCTGCTCAATAAATAAATTATAGGAAAAAAACAACAACAAAGACACCAGCTTCAGCCCACTTCCGTCCATTTCTGCACAAATGTTGCCATTTTTGGCTCAACTAAAACTTTTTAATAACTTTGGTCTCATAATTGGAGTTTTACACAAAAAATATCCACAATTTTGATAAATAAATCCGACGTTCGCATATTAAATGGGGTTACATCTTAATCAAAGGTACAACAAAAGTCAATAGGTGCCAATTATCGGAGTAACTGCTTAGTTACTGTTTTTGTTATTGACAAAAAATATTTTATAGTTCCAGGTTAATCCTCAGTAAAGTTTCTATATTAATTTAACAATTATTAGATGGTGGTGGAACACCTGACATGATGTCCTTGTTGTTTTCTTATGCTTTACACATATGAAGAGGACAGTCTTGAAGCGGTTGAAATGTTGTTCACTGTAAAAGACCAGGTAATCTCCGTAATCCAGACAATCCAGGTGGGCTTTTAGATTATTCATTTATAACTTACCCAGATTCTGTGGGTCTTTTTCTCGCGCCTCCCACAGTTTGGTGTCTGTGTAAGCTGGAGACAGCAACCATCGTTTGGCTACAAAAAAAGACGAACCGATTTAGCATCTCGTTAACTAACAACCAGGAACACGTTCGGTTTACTCTAAATCTGAAACTCTGAAACACCAAGAGGAAAAACATGAATTATCAAATTTCCTGTAGGTTGCAGGAAGGCGCGTTTACCTGTAAGAGACGGAGATACACGTTTAACTTTCAAGGCTGCTTTTACACATCGATTAAACACGGAGGCCGCCATGTTTGACCGGAAACAGAAGTACGTTCTTCTTCTCTGATTGTAACAGTTGTCGGTCAAAGGGACAATACCGCCACCTTCTGCCTCGAATCAGACACTTCTTCTTCTTCTTCTTCTTCTTCTTCTTCTTCTTCTTCTTCTTCTTCTTCTTCTTCTTCTTCTTCTTCTTCTTCTTCTTCTTCTTCTTCTTCTTCTTCTTCTTCTTCTTCTTCTTCTTCTTCTTCTTCTTAATTTTAAAGTGCACAAATATACATTTAGGTGTAACTTTTTGTTAATATATCCTTTCTCAGTAGGAAAACTCCCAATAAAATTAAGTAATTTTCATAAACAATCTTTGTTATGTTGGAATCTTATCTTTAAACACAACTTCTCTCCTCACAATTGTATTATTTGGAACAATACACACATAGTATGTCAAAACAAAACACCCTTTCTACAAAATTGGTCATTAAGTAATGTAAACACTGTGAATAATCTATTAAATACTAATGGTGAAATATTATCGCACAAAGACTTCATAGAAAAATATAATATTAAGACTTCAAAAGAAGAGTATAACATCTATCCCTGTTAGTATCTTTTCTTTAGCAGAGACCATACAATCAAACATTATCTTATCTGCAGCAGTCAGACCTCCAACTATTTCTGGGATCTTAATTACAGATAAGAAATGTAATAATTCTGTTATTAGAAAAGTAATTGACCCCGTATCAACACCGATATGTAAACACCGATGGACTTTAATGAATGCAAAACCATGGAACAGGATCTTTCTGCTTCCTCACCAATACGTTATTGTGAATAAGATAAAAGAAGTCTTGTTCAAAGTTGTACACAGATATTACCCGTCAAAAGCGAACATCTGTATTTTTTTCCCAAATGTCTCTGACATCTGTACTTTTTGTGGTTGTAAGGGAGAAACGATTGAGCAAATTTTTGTTGATTGTTTTGATGTAACATTATTTTGGTTCCATCTACAAACATCGTCGTCGTCGTCTTCCTCCGCTTATCCGGGTCCGGGTCGCGGGGGCAGCATCCCAACTAGGGAGCTCCAGACCGTCCTCTCCCTGGCCACCTCCACCAGCTCCTCCGGCAGGACCCCAAGGCGTTCCCGGACCAGATTGGAGATGTAACCTCTCCAACGTGTCCTGGGTCGACCCGGGGGCCTCCTGCCGGCAGGACATGCCCGAAACACCTCCCCAGGGAGGCGTCCCGGAGGCATCCTGACCAGATGCCCAAACCACCTCAACTGGCTCCTTTCGATCCGGAGGAGCAGCGGTTCTACTCCGAGTCCCTCCCGAATGCCCGAGCTCCTCACCCTATCTCTAAGGCTGAGCCCGGCCACCCTACGGAGGAAACTCATTTCGGCCGCTTGTATCCGCGATCTCGTTCTTTCGGTCATTACCCAAAGCTCATGACCATAGGTGAGGATTGGGACGTAGATCGACCGGTAAATCGAGAGCCTGGCTTTCTGGCTCAGCTCCCTCTTCACCACGACAGATCGGCTCAGCGTCCGCATCACTGCAGACGCCGAACCAATCCGCCTGTCGATCTCCCGATCCCTCCTACCCTCACTCGTGAACAAGACCCCGAGATACTTAAACTCCTCCACTTGAGGAAGGACCTCTCCCTTCACAAAAATATATTTCCAAAAATATATTTTTAAGCAAATTTGAAATACTCCTTATTGTTACTAACCCTCATCTATCATCCAATGAAAAATATATAATTAATTTGATAATTATTTTAGCCAAATGTTATTTACATAAAATGATTTTTCAGAAAAGCATTCCCTCCTTTTATAACTTCAAAATTACAGACCATGAAACATTGGAACAGCATTGAAAATTTGACAAAGGAGAACAACAAATTAACCAAGAGTATCAATTTATTTCTTCATTTCAATCTAGACGCAGCAGATCCCTGTGTTATGTTTGTATGTTTTTCTTTTTTTTCTTCTTTTGTTATGTTTCTGTTTGTTTTATTTTCATAAATTAATTGTCAACTTTTAAATGTGTGTTATTGCAAATGTAAACAACTGTAAAATGTGATCTATGAATAAAAAAAATACATTTAGGTGAACATTCAGCCAGGAAAATTAATTAGACAAATATTGAGATCCTTTTTGTTAAAGAAGTGAGAAATTAGATTTATATGTAGTTCTACATCTTAAGGAAAATAAAGATAACATGGCATCTAATTAGCAAATTTACATTTATGGATATAGAATTTAGCCAAGAGAATTTAAAGTTTATTACAAAAAAATTAACGTATCATGTTTTTTGGGGCTTTAAAAAAAACAAAGTAAAACAATTTCCCATTTAAAGAGAAAAATATGCTGAATAAATATACCTGCTAAACTCCTTCCACAACCTTTGCATAAAAGAACAGTACGAAACAGATGATCATATTCCATATTGTTTTTTTAAGATAATATCATATTATATTATATTATATTATATTATATTATATTATATTATATTATATTATATATTATATAGGGCTGCGCAGTGGCACAATGGTTGGAGCTGGTGCCTTGCAGCAAGAAGGTCCTGGGTTCGCTTCCCGGCCTGGGATCTTTCTGCATGGAGTTTGCATGTTCTCCCTGTGCATGTGTGGGTTCTCTCCGGGTACTCCGGCTTCCTCACAGAGCATGATCATTTGTCCTGTGTGTCTCTGTGTTGCCCTGCAATGGACTGGCTCTCTGTCCAGGGTGTACCCCGCCTGATTGCCTGCTGACTGCTGGAGATAGGCACCCTGCGTGGACAAGCGGGCTCAGAAAATGGATGGATGGATATTATATATGACATTATATTATATTATATTATATTATATTATATTATATTATATTATATTATATTATATTATATTATATTATATTATATTATATTATATCATTATATAATATAATATAACATAATATTATATTATATTATATTGTATCATTATATAATATAATATAATATAATATAATATAATGTCATATATAATATCATATTATATTATATTATATTATATTATATTGTATCATTATATTATATTATATTATATTATATTATATTATATTATATTATATTACATTATATTATAAATAGTTTAGTGTATTTACCATCTGGTTTAACACATTGGTCAAAACTGTCCCGTTAACATAGGCAATGGCAGAAGAAAACTAAAAGAAAAGGAAGGTCAGCGCATTCGTCAGTAGGGGGCCCTCTACTCTTTAGGAGGAGATGGATCACATGAACATTTGGTGCAGGGGCTTTATCACTCTGCCCTTTTGCTCTGTATTTAAAGTTAAAGTGTGACTTAGCCTCACATGATTCTTGGAGATCCTCTTGTGAAAAAAGTGTGCATGAACTGTGAAACACTGACATACCAGCAGCTTCACGAATGCAGCATTCTGACGTTTTGCATTCTCAAAATGAAAATATTAAAGATGTGTTTGTCTTGATGAGTGTGTGTGTGTGTGTGTGTGTGTTTTTGCACCATCCTTGCCCAAACCTAAAACGGATTGTATATTTTTCAGAACCCTTCTCTGCTTCCCTTTTTCACATCTCATCCCTGGTTTTTGCATCACATTGTTCACCGGAAAGTAAAGAAAATATCATGTGGCACAACAAAATGTTTCAAAGCACAATGACACAAAGAAACTGTAACTGTCACATCCACTTTTTGTAGCCCATGAATATGCAGTCTGGGTTAAGGTAACTAAAAACACGCGGAGTCATGTTTACTGTCATGATTCGGGCTGAACTGACTGTAATAGACACAGGAAAATGCCAAATCTGTGAGCTACATTTTACTTGTAAACGATGCATAAAATCTTATATTGTTTCAGATGAAAAAAGTTCCTAATTTATGTTTTTGCCCCAATTTCACAATTTTATGTAAATCATTTAGAAGTTTGAACACAAAACTGAGACAAGTTAGAAAAAATTGTGGTTGAAATTCTTTGTATTCTTAAAAAATATCTTTAAAATTTACTCAAAAATTCAATAAAACAGTTGGTTTTTTAAGCTTTTCACAATTCGTTTTTTGAGTTTTGGTTGTTTATGCCAGGTACATGTACATACACAATAAATCTGCGTGGTATAAAAAAATAAAACAAAATGCACTATTATTATTAACATTGTGCTTGTTCATTTAAAAATGAGGTAAAAGTTGTCAAGATAAACAGTGTGGCTGAGAAGAAGGTAAGCCAGATTTTGTCATGTTTGTTTGTTGTCTGGCCTGTTCCTTGTTTGCAAAAGTACTCAACTTTAAAATGTCCAAATGTCCTTTTTTTAAAATGATTTTTTAAAGTGTTTGTTCACTTGAAACAAACTAAAACACAGTTTCAGTCCCATTTCTTCTCTTGCTAATTCTGAGATAAAAGCAAAAGCACGCGATCCCTGTACGGTTTATAAAAATAACTCATTTCATTTCCGGTGTTGGTTTGTAGGCCTAATAATAAAACCAAGTATTGTGGAATTTGTTTCAGTAATTTAAAAACATTTTTATATTGAGTAGAATCAGAAAATAGAATGAATTCTGCATCACAGCAGGGGTGTGCCCAGGGAGTGGCCTGGGGTGGCACATGCCACCCTTGGAATCTGAACGGCCACCCCATGTGTCACCACACTGAATTCCTTTTAAATAGTATTTTCATTGTCCACAAAAGGCTCGGGGTAAAAAAAAAAAAAGCATAACCATTGGTGTCACCCATGCGCAAAGTAGTGCCTCATCTGGGCCACCCCATTTTAAAAGATCTGGACACGCCACTGCATCACAGAAGTTTTTATATTGACAAATATTAATAATTATTATTTTCTGTTGGTCAGTCATTATTTATCTAATAAATAAAAACAAGGCAGCATAATTGAAGAGCTAAAACTATTATTTTTATAAGAGTTCATTTTTTATTTACTTCATGTGATATCAGCCAAACTAAAGTTTGGTGAGTTTAATTTGTTTTTTCAATCAAACTCTTCAAATTAAAAGTCCAATTCAAGCTATTTCCTCTTTTATTTGACCTTTTCCACAAGTTGAAAATTCAAATTCAGTTTGCTTACGAAGCCAGCCTTATAAAGCATAATCCTGTACCAGTGTTTGTGAAATAAATGATGAAAAATGAATTATTTATTCCTGCGTGACCAATGAAGTCCGTTTAAAATCCTCCTGATGAATCTCACCATCCTCTGGTTGTCCCTGTGCTGCAGAGCCTCTCTGCAGTGCAACCACAAGATGTTTTTCCCACATCAAACCTCTACCTGTCGTCCCGGCTTCTGCGTCCCCTTCGAATTCTCATGCTCACTTTGGGTTTCACTTCATTAAAAATGAGACCGCGCTGATGGCCGCCTCACGAAACTGCACCTTTTCATCAAACCTGCAGCGTGATGCTGCTGCTGAGAGGCGCTGACTCTTTGCGGAAGACATCCACTCTTCGTGGTTGGCCTCTCGGCCGACGGCCGGGATTGAAGCGTGTAGGTGAGGAAAGGAAAGGAGAGGAGGATGTGAGAACTTCCTCAAACCGTTTGCAGTTTCGCTCTTTGGGACGCGGTGGTCGTGGCTGGTTGAAAAAGAGAAGCTGCTGTTCTGCATTTTATCTGACAGTAAATGACCACGTTTACCTGAACTGGCATAGTTGGAGTGAATCAGAGAGAAAGTTCTGCAAAATCTGAGAAATAGAGACAAGTGTCCCTGCATAGAGACTTGTTTTTAACGGATTTCATTTATTTCGATCTAAATTCTCATTTTAACTCATTATTTTCAGCGGAGTTTCTAAAACACAGCGCTTTCTAGTCTGATTCTCACAGAAATATGCAGCTTTTGTCTGGGACACCCACTGAGTTGGAGCACAGCCTGAAGAACAGAAGGGGATAGGTGTTTTCTCTTCCTCTTCCTCCACTTTGAAGGAATGAGACATGCAGGCTTTTGGAAACTTGCAGCAACCATCCCCGGCATTGGTCCGAGGAGATTAAACACGAGCTCCAGTCTGTGAGTGTGTGCATGTATTTACTTTTAATCAGTAGAATCAGGTTCTAATTGCAATTTTTACAGTGTCATGGAATAAAAAACAGGAACATCAGTCAATAAATGTATACAAAATCATGTTGATTTCAACATCAGACATAATCACAGCTTGCTTTAATTTACAGATTTGTTTATAATCAACACAATCTCCCAGAAAAGGCCAGAGCTGACCTCTAAGCGTGCACAAATAATCAGCGATTCACATGTTTTTATTTAATGAAGCAGAAATAAAGTAAAATTGCATTCAAAAGTTTTTATTTACAAAATAAAACGTTTCCTCCTAAATCTAAATCAAGTTGGTGGCTTCGGCCCTGTCCACACGTAGCCGGGGGTCTGCCAAAACGTAGATATTTTTCTACGTTTTGGCCTGTCATCCACACGAAAACGGAGTTTTTTCACACAAAAACAGAGTTTTTTAAAAACTCCGGCTGATCTGCGTTTTCTCCGTTTTGGGTGTCTGCGTGTGGACGGACAAAACCGGAGTTTTAAGGTCTGCAACGTCACTTTCCGCGACAAAAAAAATGCTGACTTCACGTGTGCGACCTGTGTTTACACTAGCCGGCATCATGGAAGCCCTCAGAGCTGCGCTCGCTTTATCAATTGTTCAAGCGCTTTCTGCTTGTTTGTTTTTGCAAGAGGAATTACTGCTCCTTGTGGAAGACCACAGACGAAGGACGAGGTTAAGAACAGGGGAAGTACTGCCGCCTACAGGTCTGGCATGTCCTTAACAACGTATTTATCCGGGTACGTGTGGACAGAGTTTTTTTTTTTAAACGAGGTGGTGTGGATGCAAGTTTTTGGAGGGGCGAATATTCGTTTAAAAAAAAAACCCGGCTACGTGTGGACTAGGCCTTCGTGATGACAATACGTGCCACAGCTTCCACTGTTTAATTGTCTGATTTGTTTTCATGGCTTTGAACCTAAATTCCTACTTTTCTCCTCACGCGAGTGTCTCCTGAGCATCCTCCCTGTCTTCCTGTGTGGAAAAAAATTCCGTAAAATCTGTATCATCTTCTGTTATTGTCATGACTTGTAACTTCTCATGTTCAAACGTTAATCACCGATCTCTCTCCAGCTCGTCCGCCTGCCTGCTTTGCTCATGCTCGTCCAGCTCCTCATCTTCAGAGACCGATTCGTACGTAAAGGATGACCCGCCGACCTTTTCCAGCCGGTACTCCTGCTCGTCTGCGTACGATTCAAACGACGTCTCTGACTCTGAGGTGTCCTTCGGGTGTCTCCTGAGAGCTCCAGCCCGTCTTTTTGCTGTCGTCCCCCCTTCAAAAGCCTCATCCTCTGAACTTTGCTGGTACTTCCTTCGTTTGGGGGTCTTCCCCGGTGTCCGTTTACCAGGACCCCCCTGTCCTTGCTCTTCCGTCTCTGGGATGTAACGGCCCTCGCCTCCAGGCTCTTGCTGATCCACCTCAGGACTGTACTGGCTCCTCCTGTACAAACTCTCTTCATCTTCCTCCTGACAGGAGCTACCTGGGAGGCTTTCACCATCCGACTGGGAGAGACGGAGGCCCTGCAGGCTCGAGTCTTTCTGCGAGAGGTCAAACGGCTCCTCTTGGCCGAAGTGGGAGAGAAGCTCCATTGGAGTGGACATGCAGTACCGCCCTCGTTGACGAAACACTGAAATCAAATGAGTTTTTTTAGTGCGTGTGACAACTTCACCTTCAAAAATCTGTCAAGTTCTTTAGAGCGTTTTCATCCTTACGTCTTTCGTCCAAACCTCTGTCCATGACTCCGTGTTTAACCTTCATGTGTCTGGTGAGGTTCCCTTTCAAGGTGAACTTGCTCGGGCAGTAGAGGCATTTGAAGGGTTTGCTGTCTGAGTGGAGATGCATGTGGCCCATCAGGTTGTGCATCCTATTAAACTCTTTCCCACAAAGCTGAAAGACAAGATGCACGTTGCAGGGAAGTTTTTTATTCGTACAGATCTAACAAAATGTTTTCAGTGATGTGGGCGTGGGCTTCCACTTATTTTAACACATTTTCTGTGGCCTATAACATGAATGAAGTCATTCTTTGTGGAAAACAAGCTCTGGTGCTCCAATTTCAGGAAGTAGAAGTTAGTCAGAGGAGTGGGGTGTGGAAAACGTCATTAATATTCATGATATTCAAACATCTGGTCTGTGATTGGCTAACAGCAACATTGCCTCCATTCTCTCTGCAACAATGATGTTTTATCTCCACAAATAACACAAGCCTGAAGGAGTTCTGCCATGTTATGGAGTTGCTAATGCTAATGTTAGCTTCCACTAGCTGAGACGTGCTCTGATCTCTCCTGGATGCTAAACTGACGACAGCCTTCCCCGGTCAGAAGCCTGGACACGTGAGTCCAGGAATTCAATTCAATTCAATTCAAGTTTATTTATAAAGCGCCAAATCACGACAAGAGTCGTCTCAAGGCACTTCACATAATAAACATTCCAATTCAGGTCAGTTCATTAAGCCAATCAGAAATAATGCTTCCTATATAAGGAACCCAGCAAATTGCATCAAGTCACTGACTAGTGTCAGTGACTATACAGCAATCCTCATACTAAGCAAGCATAAAGCGACAGTGGAGAGGAAAAACTCCCTAATGCTAATTTTACAGCGCGCCGTCGATCTGTGAGGCTTTTTCTGACTCGAGGGTTTTCCCATTTGTTTTGGTTCCGCGGCTAATTCAGGTTTAGAAGACTTTTTCACTCAAAGTGACCGATCGTATTTCAAAAAGAACAAGTACCTTCAAATATAAATAAAAATGGTTTCTCATTTAGACTTCTTAAATGTGACTTTATCTATGTGGCTCGGATAAGGATCAGTCATCCTAGACAAATATGTGCGTATTGTTTTTCCTCTCTTTTCTCAAAAGAGCTACACGTAATCATGAATGAATGTCCAGGCATTTGGACACACACCCTTTCTTCCTCCTTCTATCCTTGTTTTTCTCTTTTCCTCTCTGTCTTGCTCCCCCTTTCCCCTCCCTCCTTCACACACAAGAAAAACAGAAAGCTTTAGAGACAGAAGGAGAGAGAGAGAGGAAGCAACAGTGAGACTGGGCCAGGAGGAGAACAGGGAAGGGCTACTCCTGCGCTGTCCTTCCTCTGCATTCTTTTTTATTAGGGTGGTCCTTTCCTTCAGGAGGAGTGAGGGACTGTAAACTGTCCAAGAGGACCGTGAGAAAACAGGAAGCCCCCTCGAACAGCGGAGAAAGCGAGATGAAATCTATTTGCGGGCTCTGTTCTCCGGGGAGGCTGGGGGGAGCCATTGTTAGAGAGGCGGTTTGTGCTGCGATATCCTTCCTATGAACAAGGAGGCTCCCACTCCCATTCCATGAGCCTCTCTGCTATCTGGTCATCGTCTCAATCGTTGCACACCAAGCACCAAGGTCAAATCAGACACTTCAGAAAATGACTTCAAATTTGCGGCTCAGACATAATCTCTAAGTATTTTTAACTATTCCTTTAATGACTGAATGCAAAAGAAGCTGCCCACCTTGCATTTATAGGGTTTGATGTCTGAGTGGACTATCATGTGAGCCTTTAGTGTCTGCTTTTGGACAAAACTCTTGAAGCACATGTGGCACTGGTAGGCCCTTATGTTGGTGTGGATGAGGATGTGGCGCTTCATGTTGGCCAACAGCGTGAACTCACGACCGCAGATCCGACACTTGTGTTCCTTCACCCCCTGGAAATGAGCGGTGAGAGTCGGATGATTCAAAAGACTGAAAATGTTTCAAAATGAAAGTTTAGCTTGTGACGACACAACCTCAAACACTAGCGATGGTCAAACGACGTGGAATAAAGCACGAAGATGCCATGAAAGGATTTGCAAAACTAAAACTGAAATTCACGGGTTTAAAAGTAGGTTTGGAGACAGAAAACTGTTAAAACAACATTTCGACAAGGGTTGTTTAAAATGTACACAACAAATAAAGCTCTAATGGAGTTCTATCAATATTCGTGACAAAAGCATTTATTTACGACTTACTTTGTGAGTGAGCGTGTGCTGCTTCAGGTGGTGTGACTGGATGAACTCCATCCCACACTCGCTGCAGATGTACGGTCTGATGTCTTTGTGTTTCATCATGTGGTTCTGAAGCTGACTTGGATACTGGAAAGTCTTCTGGCACTCTGTGCACCTGCAGGAACACAGAACAGTTTTTATTTAATCATAAATAGAAAAGAAAAAACATTCTGCTTGATCTGATAATTATGGTTCAACACGGTACCATGATATTGTAAACACTATGATGTGAGATGTTAAAACACGATGATACAAAACAAGATAACGATATGAGATGGAATGGGAAGACAAGATGAAGCGAGATGAGACAATACGGTACAATATGATTTAATGCAGAACAATACATTGTGACATATCACAATATGTTAGAATATAAAGCCATGTGATGCAGTAAAACATGATCAAATAAACGTGATGCAATGTGCAACAATCAAACTTGAAACAATGCAATGCCACACAATGTAATGCAATTCATTAAGATATAATGATTTGATATGATGTGAGAAATGTTACGAAATGAAATGAAATGATGTGATTTGATGTGATACGACATTGGATGATTCAGTGTGACTTGATACAATACTATTTGGTGGGATGTGATACACTGCGATGTGATGAGACGAGATGAGACGAGATGCGATGAAATGAGATGCGATGAGAAGAGGCAAGATGAGATGCGACGAGATGAGACGAGATAAGACGAGATGCGATGCGACGAGACGAGATGAGATGCGACGAGACGAGATGAGACGAGATGCGATGTGACGAGATGAGATGAAATGAGATGCGACGAGAAGAGGCAAGATGAGATGCGACGAGATGAGACGAGATAAGACAAGATGCAATGCAACGAGATGAGACAAGATGAGATGCGATGCAATGCGACGAGACGAGATAAGACAAGATGCGATGCGACGAGATGAGACAAGATGAGATGCGACAAGATGAGACGAGACGAGACAAGACGAGATGCGATGCGATGAGACGAGATGAGATGAGATGAGATGCGACGAGACGAGACGAGATAAGACGAGATGAGATGAGATGAGACGAGATGAGATGAGATGCAACGAGACAAGACGAGATGAGATGAGATGCGACGAGACGAGACGAGATAAGACGAGACGAGACGAGATGCGATGCGACGATACGAGACAAGACAAGATGAGATGAGATGCAACGAGACAAGACGAGATGCGATGCGACGAGACGAGACAAGACAAGATGAGATGAGATGCAACGAGACAAGACGAGATGCGATGCAACGAGACGAGACGAGACAAGATGAGATGCGACGAGACGAGACGAGACAAGATGAGATGCGACGAGACGAGACGAGACAAGATGAGATGCGACGAGATGAGACAAGACAAGATGAGACGAGATGCGACGAGACGAGATGCGATGCGACGATACGAGACAAGACAAGATGAGACGAGATAAGACGAGACGAGATGCGATGCGACGATACGAGACAAGACAAGATGAGATGAGATGCAACGAGACGAGACGAGACAAGATGAGATGCGACGAGACGAGACGAGACAAGATGAGATGCGACGAGATGAGACAAGACAAGATGAGACGAGATGCGACGAGACGAGATGCGATGCGACGATACGAGACAAGACGAGATGCAATGCGATGCGATGAGATAAGACGAGATGCGACGAGGCGAGATGAGATAAGATGAGATGCGACGAGATGAGACGAAACAAAACGAGATGAGACACGATGCGATGAGATGAGACGAGACGAGATGAGATGAGACGAGATGAGATGAGATGAGATGCGATGAGACGAGACGAGATAAGACGAGATGAGATGAGATGAGACGAGATGAGATGCGATGCAACGAGACAAGACGAGATGAGATGAGATGCGACGAGACGAGACGAGATAAGACGAGACGAGATGCGATGCGACGATACGAGACAAGACAAGATGAGATGAGATGCAACGAGACAAGACGAGATGCGATGCGACGAGACGAGACGAGACAAGACAAGATGAGATGAGATGCAACGAGACAAGACGAGATGCGATGCAACGAGACGAGACGAGACAAGATGAGATGCGACGAGACGAGACAAGATGAGATGCGACGAGATGAGACAAGACAAGATGAGACGAGATGCGACGAGACGAGATGCGATGCGACGATACGAGACAAGACGAGATGCAATGCGATGCGATGAGATAAGACGAGATGCGACGAGGCGAGATGAGATAAGATGAGATGCAACGAGATGAGACGAAACAAAACGAGATGAGACACGATGCGATGAGATGAGACGAGACGAGATGAGATGAGATGAGATGAGATGAGATGAGATGCGAGAAATGTTACGAAATGATATGAAATGATGTGATTCGATCTGTGATATGTGATACGACATTGGATGATTCAGTGTGACTTGACACAATACAAGTTGATGGGATATGACACGATGCAATGCGATGTGATGTGATGCAATATGGTATAATTCAGTATGATATATGAGAAGATATGATATAATATGGTATGATTCAGAGTGATAACATGATACAATAAGATAAAATACGCTACAGTAAGATACAGATCAATACAATATACAATGTAATTCAACATGATATGACATACAATCTAATCCAATACATTGCAACATGCTACAAACTTAGCCTTTATAAGATGAAACAAAACAATGAGAGCGATACAATATCATCTGTTTTAGAAAGAAGGGCAGCATTTTGAGCTCACCTATACAATGCTGGACCTCGATGGACAGTCAGATGCCTCTTTAGTTGAGCCAGAGTTGGGAAGTCTAGCCCACACTCCACACACACGTTCTCCTGCCCCTTTTCATGCTTCAGCTCGTGAGCACGAAGCTCACTGGGATACGCAAATCCTCGGCCACATACACTGCAGCTACAGGTGAAAACCATGAAAAGGCGGGTTAACATACTCTAACTGTTTAAAACATTACCTGGAAAAACGTATTCACCTGTATGGTTTCACGTCACTGTGCTGCATCATGTGTCTCTTCAGATGACTGGTCTGAGTGAAGGCCTTGTGACACACCTGACACTTGTGGGGCCTCATGCCCTGGTGTGTGAGCAGGTGTGTGTGCAGGTGGCTCAGCTGCTTGAACAACTTTCCACACAGGTGACACCCATGAGGCTTGATGCCATTGTGGCCCAGAATGTGTGTGACCAAGTTGTACTTGGAGGTGTATGACTTCTCACACATCCGGCACTTCCACCTCTTCTGGTCCCCTCCAACGTCCACATAATAGCTGTCGTCCACGTGAACGTTGAGACCCAACTTCTCAGGGTTGGTTGTCCCGCTTCGAGGAGCGTCGTCACGGGCTGGCTGGCCCAAGCGACGGTCCTGTCTGGGGTAGAAACCACCGGGGGGGAGGTGCATAACAGGCCCAGGTAAGAGGAAAGGGTATGGGAAACGACTGTGGGGGACAGGTGGGAAGTAGGGAGGATGAAGAAAGAGCGGGGAGGGGGGCCAAACAGGGGATGGACTTAAAGACTCCTGCTTCACCTGCACAGGTAGATTCAAAGCTAGTGATCGGTGGTGAGGCCGGTTCAGTTCAATCATCCCAGGGATTGGTTTAGAAGATGGGGAGGAGATAGAGCGAGGTGGAAGGGCGATGGGGACATGCAGGTCCAATGTCCCCTTACTGCTGCTGCTGTCTTCTGCCTCTTCTTCTCCATCAGCTGATTCTCCTCCATCTGTTTCGAGAGGAGCTCGTTTACGTCGACGAGATTCCTCTTTCTGACCGTAACCGAAGCCCGGCGTGCGGAAAAAAGCCGGCGGGCTGAAGGCACCGTAGGCGCCTGCGGTGGGCGCTATGCTCGGGTAGCTGGGTGGGGGAAACCTCTGGGGCTTGATGTAAAGTGGGACTGGGCTCAAGAAGAAACCACGCTGAGGTGTTTGTGTCGGCTCATCTCTGAAGGAAGGACTTCCACCCGGCGGGAAGTTCACAGCATCTTTGTCCATCTTCTACCTGCAGAAAACAGAGGAAGGCAGAAATACGTTTTAACAGAAGAGGAACATCTCACTTAGCGTTCGTCGTCTACGTGCATTTCAGAAGTCGTTGCAAATTCTGAGAGCAGGAAGATTAAAAAGAAGCTCCAAGAATTTTAAGTCTGTCTAATGGAACCAAACTATTACTGAAAAGAGGAACAAACCACAGAAACACCAAGTTCCTGAGAACATTTTAACTTTTGGTGAGTTGAGGGACGAAACCTCGTCCGTCTGGTTTCTGGTGAAGACCTTTCTCTGAGTGGGCGTGCCGTGGCGTCAACACACACACACACACCTTTCTGTTTAACCTGAAACCTTTCACTTCTTTCTTTCTCACAGACCTTCTTCTCCTTGTCTGAAATTAGGAAGTTCTGAGTGAAACGTTCGCCTCTGCGGCCTTTTCGCTTCTCCATCTCTTTTTTGCTGCACCGAATGAAGGACTTCCTTTTTGCTCCTTCGCTCATAGTTCAACACGATGTTTAAGCTGGATCTTCAAAGAAATCTTGGATTATTCAAAAATTATTTGATTATTCCAAAAAAAAACAAAACACTAGATTAGACGTGTTTTTGTATCGAGGATGATGAGAGTCATGGTTAAAAATAAGGTGATACCCAAAAGGGGAACTGTGTCACTTCTGCATGACATTAAAATACTAATTAATACAGTTGTTTGTAACACAATCTGCAAACCATTTTCAGCTCACTGCGTGTTGTTTTTTAACAGTTTTCTGTTTGATAATTTCCTTATTCTAGATGTAAAATAAATTCTTTATAATTGTGGGTTATTTTATTAAAGTATTTGTATATTTTGGGTTTGTAAAACATTAAAATATAAAGACAGACACAGCAAAACCAAACTGACTGACACTTTTATATTATTTTTTTACTTACACTTCACTTTCTTGGTCTTGTTTTTGTGTAAATTATTGGGGAAATTTTTAATCCACAACAAGCAACCAGCGGCTGCGCAGTGGTGCAGTGGTTAGAGCTGTTGCCTTGCAGCAAGAAGGTCCTGGGTTCGCTTCCCAGCCTGGGATATTTCTGCATGGAGTTTGCATGTTCTCCCTGTGCATGCGTGGGTTCTCTCCGGGTTCCTCCCACAGTCCAAAAACATGACTGTTAGGTTGATTGGTCTGTCTAAATTGTCCTTAGGTGTGTGTGTGTGTGTGTGATTGTTTGTCCTATGAGTCTCTGTGTTCCCCTGCGATGGACTGGCTCTCTGTCCAGAGTGTATCCCGCCTGATTGCCCATAGACCACTGGAGATAGGCACCAGCCCCCCACCCCCACCGCGACCCTGCGTGGACAAAGCGGGTTCAGAAAATGGATGGATGGAACTAGCAACCAGAAAATAACATTTTATCTTCATAAAAAGCTTTTCCCTGCTGCATCCAGACTCACAAACTTGCAAACAAAGTACACCTGTAAAGGTAAAACGACCCTTTGCAGAGCATCCTGTCAGGTAGAAATTAATTTAACTTGGCTCAACAAAAAAAAAGTGCAATAAGGCAAGAATTTAAGTGCAAATGTGTGATTTTCAGGACCAGTTTTTATTCAGAATGTTTAGAAACCTCTGATGTGGTTCCCAAAGAGAAATTGAATAAATGTTTCCTCTTTTAGACGGATTCGTCTGCTCTCCCGGATCTTCTCCGCTTCTCCTGCTGGACTTCCTCGAAGTAGGGACCCTTGTCTATTTCCACACCACTCACTTCCAACAATCCATTAAGATGAAGCCCCTCCTCGTGTGCCAGTCTGTGCCACGCGAGTGTGTGTCCTGTGAAGCTGCATGCAGCGGAGTGTGTGAATGTGTGTGTGTGTGTGTGTGTGTGCAGCTTACCAGCTGAGACGCTTCTCTGTGATGCTCAGGTGGAAGAGTTGCTGCAGCCGTACCTGAACCTGCGTTCTCTTCCTCTTGCTCGCTCCGCAGCTCTCCTGACAATGAGCCGCCCATCCACGGATAGCATTTGAAGTGACTTAAGAAAGAGAACAGGAACAATCACTTTGTTCTCATTTTTCAGATGAGTACCTTCGGAGAGAAGGAAGGAAGGGAGGGGAGAGGAAGTCAACAAGCCTAGTGCCTTCCTGCAGAAAAATAAGGAAACACTAGATAGACATCTCCACTTCTCTCTGAAATAGGGATTTACGCAGGTTTTTGGGAGAAACTTGAAGAGGAGAGCTGATGTTTCAAAAGCCAACAATGGAATTTGAATTGTTACAGTTCTTTTCCATTGCTAAAACTCAAAAAGCAAAAATGAGGCGCAATTTTCACAACCTCTACTTCTGTTCCCAATCGCTCGACTCAATTTATCACTACTTAAGATTTCCTTATCATATTAGAACTCTGATTTTCCTCCTTTACACTCTGATGTCAATTTCACATTTCCTTGCTGTCAAAACACAGCATACAATTTTCAGGTTTAACAATAATAACAATACATTTTATTTAAAAGCGCCTTTCAGAACACCCAAGGTCACTTGACAGAAAATACTTAATGAAATACAATAAAACAACAATAAAACACAACCAAGAAAAAACAAAGAGAGAAACCAATAAAATCAGAGGTCGTAGGCAGATTTAAACATGTGTGTTTTGAGTTTGGTTTTGAAAAGAGTGAAACTGTCGATGTTCCTGATGTCTGGGGGGAGTGAGTTCCAGAGACGGGGAGCTGAGCGGCTGAAAGCTCTGCTCCCCGTGGTAGCGAGACGGGCAGAAGGGACCGCAAGACGGATGGAAGAAGAAGATCTGAGTGAACGGGACGGGGTGTTAATACTTATAAGGTCTGAGATAAATGGAGGAGAGAGGTTGTGGATGGCTTTGAAGGTATGGAGGAGAATTTTGAAGATGGACCTGAATTTAACTGGGAGCCAGTGAAGCTGCTGGAGAACCGGGGTGATGTGGTGAAAGGAAGGGGTTCTGGTGATGATACGGGCTGCTGAATTCTGGACCAGTTGCAGTTTATGAAGGAGTTTGTTGGGGAGACCATAAAGAAGTGAATTGCAATAGTCGAGACGGGAGGTGACGAGGCTGTGGACGAGAATGGTGGCAGTGTGAGGGGTCAGTGAGGGGCGGAGACGGTTTATGGAACGTAGATGGAAGTATGCTGACCGAATTATGTTATTAATGTGAGCTTGAAAAGAAAGTGAGCTGTCGAGGATGACACCCAGACTCTTGACCTGAGGGGAGGGGAGACTATGGCACTGTCAATAGTTAAGGAAAAGCTGTCAGATGTTGAGATGATGGATTTAGTGCCAACTAGAAGAAGTTCAGTTTTATTGCCGTTCAGTTTGAGGAAATTAGAGGTAAACCATGATTTGATTTCTGAGAGGCAGAGGGTAAGGGAGGATGGTGGGAGAGTTGAGTTGGGCTTACTGGAAATGTAGGTTTACACACACTTCTCACATAAACTCTCAAAGCTTCAATCAACAACACACAAATATTCAAATCTCTAAACTTCCGGGTCTGGCGAGCAATTTGCAATCAGGGACTGCAGCATAAAAGTAAGTTTCCACAAGGCTGCCCAGGTGTGTGAGTGGTTTCAGGACCACCCACCGTTTTCCATTTTCTACCGTCCACCTTATTCCCCCTTCCTCAATCCCACTGAGGAGTTTTTCTCTGCCTGGAGGTGGAAGGTGTACGAAAGGAATCCACAGAGCCAGGTCCCACCGCTTCAAGCCATGGAGGAGGCTTGTAGAGATGTGGCCTTTGAGGCCTGTCAGGGCTTCATGAGGCACTCGAGGCGGTACTTCCAGAGCTGTTTGGACCAGGAGGACATCGCCTGTGATGTTGATGAGGCCCTCTGGCCAGGCAGAGACCGGAGGCATGATGCCCCATGATTATGCTTGGGGGGGGGGGGGGGGGGGGGGGGGGGCTGTAAAATTAAAATGCTTAGTCTGAAAATTTGTGTGTTGTCTCAGAGAAAAGTGGACACTGTCATACATTCAGTGTGTAATTAATTGTGTTCTATTTAGACAATTGGGTTTTCAGTTTTGCTCTTCAGTGTTCTTTCCATGCTTGGTAGTGTTCACCCAAAGGCTACTTGTGTTGAAGCAATGACTGCTGTGTGTGTGTGTGTGTGTGTGTGTGTGTGTGTGTGTGTGTGTGTGTGTGTGTGTGTCATGTGAAAATGTGGCTGTGTTTACCAAATGAAAACACGTGTTCCGTTTTGGGAACATGTTACGATATGTGATGGCAGGGTCTTGTTTTAGGAATCTGTGTGTTGTGTTTGGGGTTTTGTGTGTGCGGTTTTGAAAGAAACGCCTTTTAGCGATCGAAGAAACCTGTAAAAGCTGCGAGGCGACACACAGTAAAGGACGATTAGCCCTTCCATTAGCTCACCTCGTTATTGTTTGCTCATTCAGTCTAACATTTTTTAGGTGGAATCTCTTTAATTTTGAAACTTTAAATCCATTTAGCACTAAAATAGTCAGAAAGCTGCGATAAATCAACATTTTATAGCCAACAAAAAGGCTAAAGTTGCCAGATTTGTCAGGTTTGACCTTTAATTCTGAGGAATTGTGGTTTACTCATCCAGTTTGTGCAAAAGCATCCCACTTAAAATGATCCAAACAAGGATCAATGATGATAATAAAGGAGTGAGTTTGTCAGAGTCCAGAGTCCAGTTTCTGCTACTGCTGTGCTTGGAGCAACATTTGACCGTTTTGTCTCAAAAGTTGGCTGAAAATGTCAGAAACTCTTAATTGAAAAGAGTTGGCAGTGCTTTGGTAATTGAGCTCATATCATTGTGGAGGTGAAGCTGCCTATTGTGGGTTGCTGTAGCTCATTAGCTGTCTTAATAGGCTCATGAAGGCAATTAACCTCAGACCTGGACAACGTGTGCGCCAGTTCTTAAAGATTTCATTAATAGAAAGACATTTACAGGTGTCACTTCCTGTTTCTGTCAAGCATATTTGCAAGTATACTGATTCAAAAACAACTGTTTTTAAAATCCAACATGGTGGCTGAAGTTCTTCTCCTGGTGACCTTTAAGCTGCTTTGTTCTGCTTTATCTTAAAATGAGGAATTCTCCTAAAATCAAACCGTTTTAATTCAAGCGGACGGAAGTTCTGCTGCCCTCGTGACCACTGATCATTTCAATAATTTCATGCTCTTCCTGACCTCTCTGACTTCCCGCCATCTCCAACATGCACGGTCACGCTCCTTTTTTGTAATGAACCGCAGTAAAAATAGAACAAATCTGGCCAACAGGACCACCTTGACCTTTGACCCCAGTCATCTCGGCGGCGAACTTCACCTCCGGAGGTGACGGTGGCTGAAGCAGACTCGTTAGAGACTTTTAAGTGGCGTTTGGCTTTCCGGGTCACTCTCGAGGCGTGCTTTGGACATATATAAGACGCGTTAGCGGAAAAGCAGAGAAAGAGTCCTCGGTGATCGTCTTGGAGCACCTCAAAGAAAAAGAGACAAGTGAGTAGATGACACCTTTTGATGATTTGTGTGTTTTAGGGTTTAATTTCTTTCAATTTCCTTTATTCTCAGCAGAAATGACTGGCGTTGTGGTGCCTCTGAGCCTGCTGTTCCTCATGTCTGTTAGCTCGGCGTGTTACATCTCCAACTGTCCTATTGGTGGCAAGCGCTCCATCATGGATGCACCGCAGCGCAAGGTTTGAGAAGCTGCACGGTGTCATAGAAAACTAAAAATTCAGACGTCCGTTAGCGTTTCTTCTCGTTTGCTCCATCCGTAGTGCATGTCGTGCGGCCCCGGAGACAGGGGGCGCTGCTTCGGCCCCAGCATCTGCTGCGACGAGGGTCTGGGCTGCTTTCTGGGTTCCCCGGAGTCGGCTCGGTGCGTAGAGGAGAACTACCTGCTCACCCCCTGCCAGGCAGGAGGCAGACCCTGTGGATCTGAGGGGGGACGCTGCGCCGCTCCAGGACTCTGCTGCGATGCAGGTAAGAACCCTGAATCCACGGAGGGTCAGGGCTGCAGCCTCTGCAACGCTTTCAGAGTCAAAACTCACATCTTTTGCAGTCCTTTATTTTGTTATTGTTTATTTATTGACCTTCGTGCATTTATTTGTCAGAAAATTGGCCGATATGGGTGAGGGCTGAATGTGCCTTTAAATGATGTTCCACTTTGTAAAACATGAGGTAATCATTTGAATACATTCTGAGAAAAACGTTGCATTCAAATTAAAGTGTTTTCATGAATTTGAGCAAGAATCTGTTTAGTGAGATTAAGCAGGATGAAGCAAAAAAAAAGGGCTTTTCTTTTAATTTCAACTGACAAGTGTTAAAAGTATCTAAATGAGGAAATCCCCTTTCTCAGGCATGTTGTCTTGTTGTATTTTATTACATTTAAATGTCACTAAACACTTTCCTGTGCAGCCTCAAGTGTTTCTCACATATCTAACAGCCCGTTAAACGTGCGCTTATCTCTGTCTACCCCCCCCCCAAAGAAGCCCAAAGTGGAAAATTGAAAAAATCTTCTGACTGACTCTCCCACAGAAAGCTGCATCACAGATCAGTCCTGCCTCACGGAGGAGGACCCAGACGACCAAACCAGTCAGGTAGAAGGCGGCAACCCAGCCGACGTCATCCTCCGGCTCCTGCATCTGGCCAGCCACACGTCTCACCGAACCCACCAATGAGCTGCTTCCTCACAACCCGGACCCACAAGGACTTGCTCCTGCTGTATAGTCGTGTTTCTGTATAAATGTCATCACTTTTTTCTCTCCCTCTCTCTCTCTCTCTCTCTCTCTCTCTCTCTCTCTCTCTCTCTCTGACAGAGTGCTTCTAGAACGCCTTTGTTGATACATTTTTATGTATTTAGAAAAAAAAAAGGATAAAATTTGCAAATCTTCCGGATTCCTGCATGCCGAAATAAAGTTTAAGGGGAGTAAAAAGTGTTGCTTTGTCTTTCTGAGGTTTTCTTTTCCTCTGTGGTGAAGAACAAGTCAGCACTGGTCTTATCTCCCTCTGGGTTTGATTATTTTCCACAATCGCCACCTTTATCTCGCAGCTCCTCACATGAGGCAGCGTGTGCTTTCTTGGCAGCTCCAGGGACGTAACGTCAGTGTTGCAACTTTTAGGAGGATTATCGTGTCACCTTTGAGCCATTTTCCTGGTAAATATGGTAGAATTAACAGAAGAATTCCCATAAAATACAGATAATAATAGAGTTGCATCAGATCCAAGTGCATGAGTCTTTTCTTCTTCAGGAATAATTACCTTGAACAGTGACATCGCCGGATCAAAGTGCCCTTTGAATTCATGCTGTACATTTGTACAGGAGGGTTTTAGCAGCTGCTGGGGTGGAAATATACAATCCAAATCTATCAAAAAATAAATAAATATGTGATTCCTTCTGAATTTTTTACAGCTGATGTTTAACTGGCTGAGGTCAGGCCCTATAGAACAAACACGGACTTCGAAAGAGATGAAAAACGTCGCAAACTGAAGGAAGAAACAAAGATTTAAAAAGGTTAAAAAGAAGATAAAGAAGACAAAGTCAGAAACATCCGTTCCCGTCAGCAGTTGTTACACCATCCGTTTGTTTGTGCAACTTTTATGATCACATTTCTTTGCATTAAAAAACTTTCCTGAACTTCCTGTTTTCTCCCATTAAGGATCAATAACATTTGAGCTCCAGTTGCGTTGCAGCTCTTTAACCTCTCCGTCGGCTCTTATCTGCAGCGGTCGATAGGATCAGCTGCATGAGATGACCTGCAGCTGTATTAATTGGTGTCACCTGCTGTTAATCATTGACAGCCTGCAGTTTGAGAGTATAAAAGAGGCTGATCAGCCTTTCTTGCTCTACCTGTGTTGTCTGCCATCATGTCTTTCTCTGGAAAATACCAGCTGGAGTCTCAGGAGAACTTTGAGCCTTTCATGAAGGCTATTGGTGAGTTGAAATGCTTTTTGGTTGCTGGGCTTTTCTGGTGGCTTTCTGTCGTTGAACTCTTGCTGTATTTGTTTTGTGGCATAGGGCTTCCTGATGACCTCATCCAGAAAGGAAAAGACATCAAGAGCATCTCTGAAATTGTTGAAAATGGTGACAACTTTACGGTGACCATCACTACTGGGTCCAAAGTCATGACCAACACTTTCACTATTGGACAGGAGGCTGAGCTGGAGATGATGACTGGAGAGAAGGTCAAGGTAAGAACCTGCCGGGTTTAGACTCTGAACACTTGCTGAATCTGGTAACCTTTAAACATAACTCGTCCTGAAGGGAGTGGTGGCGCGAGATGGCAACAAGCTCAAGGTTACTCTGAAGGGAATCGAGTCTGTCACTGAGCTGGTGGATCAGGACACGATTGTTAATGTGAGTTTAAAGGCTGCATGAGTGGAGTAGACTTAAATCTTCAAAACTAATGACTTTTCTTCTCTTTCAGACTATGACTGTCGGCGGCCTAGTGTACAAAAGGACAAGCAAGCGCATGTAAAGTGTTAACATTGAATTAAAAAACAAATCATGAAAGCGGAGCTTGTCTTGGTTTTGAATTTTCTTGGCTTTTAAGGTGCTTTGTAGATCTGGTCTTGGTTTTTAGGAAGCCAGAGCTTTATCCTAAACCTAGTAGGGTTGAAGCTGCTTTAACAAATGTAGAAAACATCTTCCACGCAATGTTCTAGTATAATCGAGCTGTGGTTGACTTAAAAGAGGTTCTTGCATTTGCTTTAAAAACCTTTTACACCTTATGTCTGAAAGTGCTGCACTTTCCAGGGCCTCCATCTTAAAAAAAAACTCTGAGGTTTGTGGCTCTAATAGCCAATTATGCACTAAGAGGGTTCACCTTAAAGTGACAGACCTAGAAAATGGAAAACTGCATTAGTTTAGAGGTCAGAAGTTCTGTCAGGGCCTCAAGCAAGATATTGGATGGGTCAGTTAAGTGTCAAACCCTGATTAGATTAAAACATTGGAAAAACAACATGTCTGGAGCCTGTTTCCCTAAATTTGGGAAGGGTATACAAAATGGTAGCTAGAGGCCTGGGGTGTAAATCAGACCATTGTGAGGGAGGCGCCACCAAGGACAGTGCCAGAAACCCACCAGGGGCATCTGGGCCACCTAAAACTTAAATTATGCTTGACACATTTACTTTCCGCTTGGTGATCCGGCTGGAACGTGCTTCACAACTTGCAGCGTTTATGGTTTATGCGGCTTGTCTCTGCGGTGAGCCAATATTCTCTCAAACTGTAGGGGGCAGCATGGAGCTCTACGGCATGCATCCAACACTACACCATAGTAATTGGTTTACAACATGGCATTCCAGCATTTTTTAACAGCGTCCTCGTTTTTTCCGACAGTGCGAGCTATTTCTCTCCAAGAATTAACATGTTGATCACGGTGATCTCTGAGAGCTGAATCATACAAATGTATGTATTTACGAACCTCTGCCATACTAGTTCTTGCCAGTCCGCCATGTTTTTCCGCATCCGACCGTCCGCGTGGTTAAATTTCCTAGGTGCGCGGTGCAGACATTTTGGGCCGTGCAGTGGAGGGTCCTGGTTAAAATAACGCAATTTGGCCGTGGGGACCTTGCAGACGCGTCAAGCATAAACCAAGCTGGCTCTTCTAATGGTGGAAAAGCTCAAATGTTTATCTGAAGTGCTTGAAACTTCTGACCCATTTGAGGTAATTGCAGCCCTAAGTTCAGAGGTTGCAGATTTGTCAGTTTGGCTTGATGCAACATCAGCAGCAGGCTAAAGTGTCTATAAACAAATTCAGACCACAATCAACTTGAAACAAAGTTTTAATGAAGCTACAAAATGTGAGCAATACAGAAATTGGTCATGAAACTTGTTGGAGAATAGATTCTTATATAAACATGCAAAATTGCTCTCTGCTAGTCCAGTCGGAACTACTTCCTCCGGTGGAACAGGTTCTTGATTCCTTCCTCGACCGATTTGGGTTCGTGCATCATGGTCATCGGCTTGTTTTTCAGAGCTGCTTCTCTCATGCTGTGGTAGACGTACTCGTTCTGCTTGAACATCCTGAGCTCCATCTCTGTCTGCATTCGCATCGCCTGGGGAAAGATCAGAACGTAGATAGCTAAGAGATGTTCCAGAAGGATAACTTGGGTCAAACTTGACCACATGGGGGCAAAAATGGATGATTTTCTTCCAAGAGGGATTTCTCTTGACTTTTTTTTATTTTTATTTTTTTTTTAGAAATGTTTTCACCAAATACTTTAACTCTGTTTGGTTCTCCATTTGGTTGTCATGTAAACACTGATTCCTGTTTCCGAGGCGTTTTGGTGTCCCACCATCCAATCAATCCCAAATTAAAACCTTAAAGTGTAGATATCTAAAAGTTTTCAAATAAAGCACAGGAAGAAACTATTTAATTTTACTTCGAGGTCCTTGGTGATGGGATGTGTCGGACCATGAGTGACCATCAGGATGGCGTAAGCCTTGCAGATCATCCCGTGTGCAACTTCTATCAGCCCAGCCTGCCAGTGCGTCACTCCTGCTCTCATGGCGGCCATCCCCAGAGCAGCGTTGTTCGGGTTGTACAATTTCCTGTCAGAAATTAGTTTAGACAGTTTTCGCTTCCTAAAAACATATTTGTATGCCACAATAAAAGTCTAAAGAGGACTGAGTACATTTTACAATATTTAATGCTTAATTCTATTCTATGCAAGACATGTTCTTAGTGACACGAAACAGTTTCTCACATGTATCCCTCCACCATTTTGCGGGCGTATTCTGCTGCTTCCTCAAAGTTCTGCAGGTAAGCCTGCACCTCGCTCATCGTGCTCCACATCCTCAGCAGGTAGATGTGAGTGTCGGCCAGAATCGGCTCGGTCTTCTCGATGCACTGTCTGCAGATTTTTACCACCTTAGAAGTAACACGAAAACAGAGAATGTAGTTTTTCTAAGTATTGAAATGGTTTGCATGCATGTGTGTGTGTGTGTGTGTGTGTGTGTGCTTGTGTACGCGTGTGCATGCAGGCATTTGCGTGCACGCGTGTGTGTATGTTTGTGTGTGCATGCATGCATATTGGCGTTCATGCTTGCATTTGTGTGTGTGTGTAACAATACCTCGTGGTAGTCACCGTCCAGCCGAGCTTTATCCATCTTCTCCATCATCTGGAAGCAGTAATCTGTTGCCTCTTTCACTTGTTCCTCTGAAGGCTGTCGGACACACAAACAACAAAAACCAAAAGAAAACAATGACACACTGAATGTTATTTTTGATAAGATGTGCGTTTCTCAAAAGCATCGAAGGCCGAAACCCCTCGAGTGCGTGCTCCCTACTTCTCATGTGTCGTCCACCCCATCGCTGCGGGATGCAACGAGAATACTCAGAAACTCAAACCTTGGCTCCGTCCTCTTCCTTTCCTCCCATCTTCACATCATCGTGGGTTTTGTTCTTGCAGTGGTCACACGTGCAGTCAAAGAAGTATTGTGTTTTCAGGAGCCGTTGCCTCTCCTCTGATAAATTCAAGTAGTCCACATAGGAGACTGTGAGCTCCTCCCCGTCGGAGATCTTACCCAGAGCGCGCAGCTCAATCCTGAAGAAGAGAAACGGTCAAACATCCGCAGAGAGGTTTCGACTCAGCTTCAAAACACTGCTACAACCGTTTTCCTGTAATGATTTTGTGAAATTCAATTAACCAAGTATTTCTTGGTGCCATTTGTTGGACTTTATTTTGAACGTTCAGCCTCTGCTAACTCCTTAGTCCAAGTGGAAGCATGCATGTAAAGTCATCACGAGATGAATGCTATTATTACTTTTATTAACATCTAAAGTTACCACAGCGCCATCATTTTCCCAACTAACGCTGCAGCATTACGCTACACGTACATGCACAAATAATAATAATAATGCGTTGAACTTATATAGCGCTTTTCTAGACACCCAAAGACGCTTTCACACACTCTCACACTGCTAGTGATGGTAAGCTACTCGTAGCCACAGCCGCCCTGGGGAGGTCTGACAGAGGCGAGGCTGCCATTTGGCGCCATCGGCCCCTCTGACCACCACTAATGGGCCATTCCCATCTGTACCAGGTCGGCCCGGGCCGGGTAGCGTAGGTTGTTTACATATCTGGGTGGCCTGGTATTTTTCCGGGCCAAACAAGGCTCATTCTCAGCCCTCTTCTCGAGGGGGTTTGCTTCAGGCCGACCAGGGCCAACACACCCACTGCTGACAGCAAATTCACACCTTTCATTAGAGCAAGCCTCTGATTGGTGGGTAGAATCAGCCCACATGGGCTTAAGGCAAGGATGTGTGGAATCAACCGGGCCAGGCTGGGGCCGACTGGGGCTACCCGACCCGGGCCGACCCGGTACAGATGGGAATGCCCCATAACCCAGGCAAGTTGGGTGAAGTGTCTTGCCCAAGGACGCAACAGCAGGATACCCCTGGCGGGAGCTGGAATCGTACCCATGACCCTCCGATCATGAGGCAACCCGCTCTACCACCTGAGCTACTGCTGCCCCTAAGCACAAATAAGATATATATTGTATGTTCTTTCACCTAATTTGTCCACTATTGACCCGTTTTCCTTTCCATACAAGCCTGATTTTAATCCCAAAGTCAAGCTCTCTCATTGGCTAAGGCTGCTTCTAGCTGCTGCCCTGGTTCTGGAGTATGTTTTTATAATGGTAGCTTGTATCAGTTGCTGGAAACCTTTTTACTCCTCTTCCTCATCTCATCTTCACAACTTCCCCTTCCCACCTCCTCCCCCCTCTTTTCTTTTGTCGAAGCATTTCACATCAGCTAAACTCTGAATGATTAAAGGAACGTGGAAATTTGTTTTGCTCCTCGTCAGCCTGTGACAGAATTTGTCTATTCAAGATGTTGATGATAATGAGTTTAATTTTAATGAATTATATGATGCTAAAATCTGACTCCGAGCACGGAACAAACCTCTGTAATCCCAGTTATTCCAGCATCTTGACACAAAAACACGTTGTACCTGATGTTTTACCTTACAGCTGTGATTATTCTGTTTCCTGTTGCGGCACAAGAGTGAAGTCGGGATGCAAATTTCTAGAATAACACCAGGAAAGGCAAAGCTTCCTGGCTGACAATATAGCTGAAGTTTCAAAATAAAACATGTTTGCAGACCACCTTGTGCAAAAATATGTCCTAGTGGATTGGAGGTGAACTAAAAGCTTCCCCATTACATAAGTAAAACCTTTTGTGTGGATCTGAAAAGATGTTAGATGGATGAAAAATAGGATCAAAAATATTAGTTTTGTTGCAGAAAGTAAAATAATAGAGGGGTTAGTGCGTTTAAATGGTGCGGTGATGATTTAATGAGCAGAGTTCACACCACAGAACTGATCCAAACTCGTGTTTCTACAAAGGATGGAGATTAGGATTTATTAGCCTTTAACGTTCCACTGAAAAGGCCTCGGCTGAGGTAACGCACCTCCGTTGAGAATGAAACACAGTATTCACAGCCGACTGACTGAAAGACAAACAGGAAGCAGTTTTACACCAAACAGCACCTGACGAAGACTTAAACTGGGCACAAAACTGCAAAAAACACGCAACATTTAATTCATTTGCAGTCAGTTAGAGTAAAATTTAGTTAGACGTACTTGCCGTGGTTGAGGATCACTGTGCAGTTTGGCCAGCAGTCGTGGTTTACCAAACACAGGTTGGGAAAAAGACCAACTCCAACAGCTTGCAGACCTCTCTGGTCGCTGACAGAGAAGCCGTTACAGTTGATCTGCAACATCCAGCATCGAAAATGCCTGTTTTAGTCCAAATCCAGGCAACAAAGGGTCACCTAGACTAAGTGACCTTATCAGACATCCCCGTGTTTACTCAGATTAGCTCATCTTAGCGCAGCTGAAATGGAATCAAGTGTGGTAACAGATATAATTCGATTTGGCCCATAATGAAGGAACACCACCTCGACCCTCTGGAACCAGTAATTAGAGTCTGGGACGGTTTTATCTCTATTTGTTTAACTTGTTGGCAAACTGCACATGCTGTCAGTGATGTCGTTACTACCCGGCGTGATTGTTTAAACCTGCCCTGCGTCTTATCACCCTTCCGTTTTCCGGAACCGCGCTGCTCTGGGTGGCTGCATGTTGGAGTAGCTCTGTTGACTATATGTAAGTTTTGCCTTTTCTTGGACATTTTTTCTTCTAGTTTCTCAAGAAAAACTGCATTTTTTGCACAATTTACTCTTCTGTTTCTGGTGCTGTGAAGCTTGGAGGATTTTTACTGCTATTTTTTAGCTTTTTTCACTTTTTGAGCATTTGTTATGATGCGTAACCATGGCAACAAGCTGGTTTACAATCGGGAGCAGCTGATTAACATTGGAAAGGCTGAAATAATACCTCAACTGAAGCCACAAATCCCAAATGAGCTAAAACGCCAGAAGCGTGGGTGCAGAGCGGGAGCAAAACGGAGACAGAGAAAGAGGAAATTCAAACCATCTCTACCATCGATCATAATGGGCAATGTGAGATCACTGGCCAACAAGATGGAGGAACTCCAAGCCCTTTCATGGACTCAGCCAGAGTTTCGGCAGTTTTGGAACCGCTGGAGGAGATAATGCAAAGAAGGATTCTCCAGAGAATCAAGAAAATGATGGACAACCCTGAGCATTCTCTTCACAAGACTCTCCGACAACAGAAGAGTGTCTTCAGTCAGAGGCTTCTTCAGTTTGGCTGCAACACTGACCGCTACTGGAGATCCTTCCTGCCAACAGCCATTGTAATATACAACAACTCTTTGATGACTTGATTATTATTATTATTCTGAGCTACTACAGCAATCAATTTCCCTCTGGGATTAATAAAGTATTTTTGAATTGAATTGAATTGAATTGAATCAGACAGATTCCATGATTTGTTTTGATCTCAGAATTAGGCGCCGCAGACGTGTTTTAGAGACATTTGGACGCACCACTCCAAATATGTGTGAGATGGAGTCGATTGTGTGCTGCTTGCTGGTTCGAGGCCAGTAGTCCAGGAAGTTGTGGACGTCCACTTTAAGCTCCTTCATGTCCTCTTCCTGCATGTCGTTGATGTGGTCCTCCAGCTCGTCCAGCGTGGTCAGCTGCATGTCAGAAACCACGCTCCCCTCCTTGTCAAGGCGCCACATGATGCGGGCCACAAGCCTGAATGGCACAGGAGAGATCATGCAGGGGTCACAGGATCAAATACTGGTGATGATTGCCATTTGTGGATATTTGCGTCACAAATAAACCACTACCATTTATTTTTTCTGCTTCCACTCACCGGATGTTCTCATTCGGGACTTTTCCGTAAGCTTTGATTGCACCGCACTCGACTTTGTGTTCGGGCCAGGCGGCGCGTTGGCAGGTACGGTCACAGTAGTGGGCGAATTTGCATTGGCCACACCTCTGGAGCTTGTCTTGTCTGCGAAAACAGTTGTGACAAATACGCTCGGCGAGGCTGCAGGGGAAGGAAAGAGGAGAAATGTAAAAAAAAATAATAAATCTGATGAAAGACATCACCCAAATTCATTCATCTGGGCGTTTTTGTGTGCATCTGCACAGATTATCCCTTTATGTGGCAGATCTGTAGCTTCAGCTCAAAGTGTAACATTCAATAAACAAAAATTTCAAAATAAAAGCTTTTTTTTAGACTATAAATGTTAAAAACGACCCCTTTCATACTTTTTGGGTTGAGCAATAAGATTAATTCTTCCTATCTTTCCGATCATATTATCACAACATTTCATTCTATCAGCTTATTTAATTACCTCAATATAAAGCTGGTAAATGGACTTTGATATGTTGATACCAGTTGTTAAAGTTAAAATAAGTGTGTGAAAGAGAATGATTGCAAAGATTCAAAGCTCTCCTGAGACAGAGAGGCCAGCGACGTTTGATCAAACATCAAACACCTGCTGGTGCCATTGTGATCGACCTAAGCTTGTGTGAAAATATTATGTAAACTATTTGACATCCAGTCAGTTAAAAATTACCTGCAAAGTAAAAAAGAAGAAACAAAATAAATCACAAGTGTTAAACCCAGCGTACCTGTCAAATACAACGGCTGCGATGCTGGCTTCAGAGAAAATAACGTCTCCTGCCCAAAACTCCTTGGTAGCCTTCAGACCCCTTCCCTTCCCAGGCGAGTCGAATATGGCCACGCTCTCCATCGTTGCTGCAGCGTTTCCTGAGAATTTACTGGAGTAAATGTGGTCTGAAGAGTCGCTCAGATGAATCAGTTTTATCTGCTTCTTCAACGGCAACTGTCGCATTCCTCCCTCGAGGTACTAAAATAGCCAAGCACCACTCGACCTGTACCACCAGGCCCAGGCGGCAGGTTAGAGAAGACTTGTTTTTTTTTTAGATCACAGTGAAACGAGACGTCTCCAGTTGACAGGTCTGTGGACAAAACTATGAAACTTGCTTGGAAGAATAATTTTCAAGCATTCTTTATCATTTTTCTTTATTTTTAGTCCAAGTTTTGTCCCACCACCTGGTAAACATCCCACTCTTCCATCCAGGACTTGGTAGTCACCTTCTCCCTGAGGTTTATTTTAGTCCCTCAGTTGGACCTGTCCATCAGGAGCGGCTGATGGTGAACAGCTGACAGAAACCAGGCTTCCACTTGGTTCTGGTGCTTTCTCTAACGTGTTCTTGACTTGTGACTTGTGATAACAGAGTCATTTTACTTCCTGGAACACTGGGTTGATTTATTTTATAAATCTGTTTTATTTAAACTTCTGAGAAGACATCACTTCCTGAATTTCTAATTGAGACAATGAAATACATTGAATTTTGTTTTGAAAACTGCCTTTTGTTAAGTATATTTGATCAAAGATCATTTTCAGAACAGTGAAAAATATTTCTTGGAGGTGACCACTTAAATCAGACACATGTTTCTATTTAAATTAAAAGTGCAGTGTGTAAGAACATAGAAAGATGACATCCTGGGGTCTAATTTGCTTACTGAAATCTCTCTCTCACTACTGTTTTGTGAGTTTCACGGATGTTTCCAGTTACGGACCAGCACCAGAAGATTCTAGATAAGAAGCAAAGGCACGCAGTACGTACACAGTAAGTTTGTAGATAAATACATTGTCATTGCTGGTGCCATAACTCTTGTGTGTTTTACGGTAAGGAGCACTTACTGCACATATTACAGTAACATGCCTCCGGCACAGAGGAAGGCTGGTTGTTTACCGCCGTCGGTACAGGATCGGCTCGGGGTCCTTCGACTCCCGATGACGTCACATGACTGCAAATCTACTCGGCTTTCACAGCAGTTTTGTTAACCCCCAGAGACCCAAATTTAGAAAACAACTGCAAAATCTTTTTTTTTAACCTTTCACATGTTGTTCTAGGACAGTGGTTCCCAACCTTTTTCCCAAGGGACCCCTTTTATTACCAGTCAAATTTTTGACGACCCCCTCCCATTCTCTCTTCCAGTACAAACATTATTAAGAAATGATAAAATTGTTCAAGCACATTTTAATATGCTTTGATTCAATAGATAACAGTAATAATAGGCTCCAGTACAGAACAAAGTCATTAACAAAACCAAACAGAGCATAATGTGCTTGACAGTTTGTATTACTTCTCTGAACACGTTGTTTCTTGTAAACACCGATAAACCAATCATTCCTTTCAATAAACATTTGACACATAAAAAATACACTGAGCAAAATGTACTTAAATGTGTATATTACTGTTTATACTAGATTATTTACTGTAAAGGCTGTGATTAATCAACCAGTCCTATCTTTAATGAACTTTTGACACTTGAAAATAAAACAGTGAGCTGAGCAAAATGTTCTTAAAATTGTGTTACTTTTTCTGTACTAATTATTTCCTGTCTTAATATCAATAAACTTTTCACTCATTAAAAAAATGTGAGCACAATGTAGGCTATAAACAAGTAATAAATGAAGTTTTAACCCCTTAAAGTGGAGAGGTCCTGGCGACCCACTGAGAGGCTTTGGCGCCCCCTTGTGGGGGTCGGGACCCCCAGGTTAGGAACCACTGTTCTAGGAGGTCAGATAAACGGGCCTATTTACACATTTTAACAGCCAATAGTGTTGCAGAACTGAACAATAGGACCTATTAGCAATGCAAATGTGGTTTTAAAAAGAAAAAAAATGGGGAAGGTTTATTTTTGTAGACTTAAATCTGATGTTGTAATATTACAACCGTGGGTCTCTGGGGGTTAACAAATTCTTGTTTGTCAACACCCAAATGTTTTCTTTATAATTGTAATTTGTTAATAAAACACCATATTATCATTGTTTTGTAAAGAATGTGAAATTGCATAAAAACAACATCGGACTGACAAACAATACAACAGTTCTTATATGTGAAGCCATATCTGTTTGTTTTAATGTGGAGTTTGTCTGTATATTTCCTTAGTTGTTATTTAAATACATTCTTTCACTCTAAATATTGTTTGCTGTCTTTCAATAAAGTTCTTATATTTTATTTTGCGCCATTTCATCAACATCAAGAGCTTTTGAGGGTCACCGTTTATCATTTGCTTATATTTTACTTTTCCTTTGGAAATTCAAACATATTTTCTCCAAAAAGTGTCGATTTTTGGACTACAGGACTACAACCGCTAAGACTACGACCGCAAATTTGTTCTGACCAATCAAAATCATAACGTGATTACGTCACTTCCGTA